GGGCCGCGGCCGGCCGCCAACTTCACGCGGCCGCCCGGGCTGAAGTTGCGCCCGGCCCGGCCTGGAGGGCCGCCGCTGGCGGAGCCCTGCTCCCAGCCCCAGGCCTGGGGAAGGAGAGGGGCGCGGGGTGGGTGCCGGACCTGGCAAATGCTTCCACTGCCCAAATCGTTCCGGGGCTCCCGCCCTCCAGGGGCTCGGAAACGCCCTTCACAGCACTGAGGAAACGGCCCTTGTGGAGGGCGGCTTGTAGCTCCAGGGGTTGTCCTGTCAGGGCAGCAGAGTGGGGGGGGGCACTCTGTGGATTTCAGACTTTGAGCCCTCTCTTGGTTTTCTGGAGCTTGATCCGAAGTAGCGGGGAGGGGACCACTCACACCACTGCTCCTTGGCTGGTGCATTGGCATCTGAGCTAAGAGTTGCTTTCTGCCAGCTGAGCACAGCTGAGAAAGTCTTCCCGTGTCTTCAGCCAGCTTCAGAGAGCCTCTGTGCAGCCATCAGCAAAGTGACAGTCGGCAGGTTCCATGTTTCGGGGCAAGCTGTGCTCAGCATCACAAAAAGGGCGAGTACAGTGCAGCCCCATAACCCTTGGTGCTGTTGTGCTGTCCTTACATTAGGTTGGGAGAAGACCGTGGCTCCAAAAGCCTCCAGCTGCCATAACAAATGTGCTGCCTTCATAAGCAAGCAGTGCATTTAGTTTGTGTCATCACCGGTAGCCCAGCTGCACAGTGGAAAGAAAACCAGCTGTGCTCCTTCTGCCTCTGCCATTGCCTGACATAAGTGGCCTGGAACTGAAGCTTGGCTCACAGCGCTTTCTTTGGGGGAGTTCAAGGCACGTAGCTGTGTTGCCTCCACGGGGCTAATGGCACTCACAGTTTGTGCATGGCAGGAAAGAGCTGATGTGACTCAAAGCCACACAAGCAGTAGGTCTAGGAAGTGAGAAGCTGGTGGTTGCATGATTACCGTTTTCACAGTAGGTGTGCATTGTTCCAGCACAGGCTTGTGCCAGGTGGAGAGCAGGCAATGGCTGTGTTCTGATCTCTGTCTGAGCGGGGGGGGAATCAGACTTTTAAAAACTTTTGCTGTGTCTGTTAGAAATAGAAAACAGTGTGGAGGAAGCCAGCAGCTCAATTCAGAATCCTAGGCCAGAGCCCCCCCTCACTGCAGTTGGTTTTGGGCCATTGCAAAGAGACCTGTCTGTTGCATTATTATCTTTGACGTGACTGGTATTCAGATAGCAGAATGGGCCTCTGGGGAATGCACCCAGTGTAGGGTAACTAACTGTGAGTGGTGTAAGGTTGCTGTAACAGTGCTATGCAGTACTCTCACAGAAGCGCTCCTGTGCTCTCAAAGCCCCAGTGCGAAGGGGTGCGAGTGACACCTAAAGGAAGGGAAGTTACTCGAGTGCTTTTTTGTGTAACCTTTTTTGACTAACAGAATGGTCCCTGGGGACATGGACAATCAAATATAAATTAGAGTGTCTTCAAGGCTGATTTTAACTGACACCAAGCAGAGCCCAAAGCCAATCCTAAAATACAGATTTATAACTTCCTATCTTTGCCCCTTCTTCCTCCTCACAAGTTCCTTCAGCAAAGATAGTTCAGCCAAAACTGATCATCATATTTCATATCTACTGGTAATATTTGGATTTCAAACAGCCAAAGCTCCAGGTTCTTCAGAAGCTGGATTTGGTGATATGACATTTCTAAAAGCTATTTACAGTTTGACTGTAGAAAGCACACTGTAAAGCTTCACTTTGTGCTGGAAATAAGAGTTTATTTAAATATAGTGTTAACATCAGACTCGGTGGTGGTTGATGGTCCATCACCGTCAGTGGAATTGTGCCTTCTTCCACTTGTTTCAAGTTTTGTCCAGGGCATCTCCATCAGATCTTTTCTGGGCCCGTAAACAGAATGAGGATTCCCGAGGGATTTGTCATTTCTGTGTGTTAGGAACTTAACATCACAGTTGTACTGCCTGGAATAAACCTCCATAGAAGCATCCAGTTTCAGGGCAGAAGTTTACTCTGGGGTTACGTGAAAAGTTACCCCATGTGGGTGTTCTCGTGTGAGTATCCTTTGACGAGGGTAAAATACTCCTCAGTGAGCTGCTCCTATCCACTGTCAGACAACATACAAGGCAAGACAAGTCACTAGTCAGATCAAGTAGGTGACAGTTTCTATGTTGTTTAAAAACAATACAGAATAAATTGACGTCAGCAAAAACTCTCTCATTGAACTCTCAGCCCACAGAATAAACTGAAAATGCTCACTTGGGCAAAAGCCTGAGGAAACAGACGGGTGTTAGAACGTTCCCTGAAGGTCAAATGTGACATCTGTCATCATGGCTGGGGAGCCAGTTTTAGAGGCATGGGTTCCCCAGCACTGTTTGCCACTGAGATGCTATGATTGAGGAACAATAGCAAATTGCACAGCTGACTTCAAGTATCTCAGAGACGGGTAGGCTCTGAGGTAGGCAGTGCACCAGGTAACCTTAACTGATCCCTTCTGAAAATCACTCGGATGAGAAGGGCTGCAAGATCCAGCTGCATAAAGGGTTTTAGAGAGGAGCACTGTGTTGTGTTGCCTGGTGTATTTAACATCATTGTGGGCTGTTGCTTGCTTTTGCAGTTGAGAAGGAGACAGTGCCTCATCATGGCCTTGGCGGACAATGCAAGCTGTGCCAAACCCAGCGAGGAGTTCCCTTTCCCAGAGATCGTGGAGCTCAATGTGGGCGGACAGGTGTACATCACTCGCCACCCCACACTGGTCAGTGTGCCCGGGTCACTGCTCTGGGAAATGTTCACCCAGAAGAATATCCGTTCCTTGGCCCGGGACAGCAAGGGTCGGTTCTTCGTGGACCGAGATGGTTTTCTCTTCCGCTACATCTTGGATTACATGCGAGACCAGCAGCTGGTGCTGCCTGACCACTTCCCAGAGAGGAGTCGCCTGCAGCGGGAAGCTGAGTACTTCAAGCTGCCGGAGCTTGTCAAGATGTTGGCCCCAAAACTCAGCAAGCAGAACTCCATTGGGGATGACCCATGCCAAAGTGACCCGGAGGAGCTGTCGCCCAATGCTGACACTGCCCGCAATCTGGCCTCTGCCAGTGCTGCCCTGGCCAGTGCCGGAACTGGCACCCCTGGGGGCTCTGTCACCGCCAGTGGGGGTGGTGCAGGCCCGGATATCCGCAGATCAGGCTTCATCACCATCGGCTATCGGGGCTCCTACACCCTCGGCAGGGACAGCCAAACGGATGCCAAGTTCCGCAGGGTGGCAAGGATCATGGTGTGTGGCAAGACCTCGCTAGCCAAGGAAGTCTTTGGGGACACCTTGAATGAAAGCAGGGACCCTGACAGACCCCCAGAGAGGTACACCTCCAGGTACTACCTCAAATTCACCTTCCTGGAGCAAGCCTTTGACAAACTGGCTGATGCTGGCTTCCACATGGTGGCATGCAACTCTACAGGCACCTGCGCCTTTGCCCATGACCAGACAGATGACAAGATCTGGACCTCTTACACCGAATATGTTTTCTACCGTGAGTGACACTTACCAAAAAAACAAACCAAATGCAAACTCCCCACCCCCTTCCTGTGCCGGCTGTTTTCCTTAGAACATAGACATCCGACCCTTGAACCTCAATATTACTTTTTCCTGTTCCCTTTACATTTTGTTTTTCCACGTTGAACCCTCTCCGACTCCCTCTTGTACCAGTTGCTGAACACCAACCTCCCCTCTCTCCAACTTCCAGCAGTAGCCAACTGTAGCTCCCAGCCCTCCTTGGATTTGTGGACTTGGACATTTGTAGATTTGTGGGGGGAGGGAGGGGAACAAATGTGTTCATACTGGGGACAAACTGGTTGGGATTTTTACAGCCGGAAAAGCAAAGAGACACCGACCTTCAGCCTGGTTATAATCATAATTGGAGCCAATTCCTGGCCTCATCGCTGTATCTTATCCTTTACAAATCTAAAAAATGTGCCATATACACTGTAGTTGATTTGCTGGGGAATGCAAACACGCAAGAGGGATATTGGTTTGATGTTATGGAGCAACGGGGGAGCAAAGGAAAAAGAGCCTCAGCATAGATAGGTCGCCATTAGCCTGTGTAAGCAGCTTAGTATTTTGACTGTCAGTGCTTGGAATGGTTAGAGAGAGATGCACCCCATGTTCACATCTTTGGATGCAAAACATTGCTGCTGCCCTGAGATGCCTTCTTGATTTCTGGGTTGAGGTGCAGACGCATGCTTCTGCGTATATACCCCAAGTGGGAAAAGGGCCTTGTACACAATGGGATGTGTTATAGATCTTTAGGCCAGTTTAATGTCTGTCAAATTTTTACCTTCATTTTCCCCTTACTTAGAGTAGGAAGAAGATAATTGGGCTTCAGAAGGACAGACTTTGATTGCTACAGTGAGTAGCATTCTGGTTTGACCAGAGCTATGACTTTTATTTAAAGATTTAAAATGAAATCTTAACAAAAAGAAAAAGTCTTTGCCACTTTGCTGGCAACCTCTCACTAGGTCTCTTTCTAATTGCGGCGCTCCACTGTCTGCAGGCCTGAGGCTGGCTTCTGCTTTACCATGCCTGGGTAACATGTAATAAAGGAACAAAAGAGACCTGCCTTTGTGTTAATGTGCTGACGTGAAAAGAAAAGCTGGTGCTCCTCTTCATATACTAAAAGGATGTGGAACCAGTTCTTGTCCACAGTGCAAGTAGATTAGGGCAAGAGAACCAGCCAGACACAATGCATTAGAGTATAGACCTTTCCTTTGAAAGCATTTTTACTTTCCTTTGAAGACAAATATTGGTGATGCCTGCAATTGAGAAAAGAATTTCCTCTCCATCCACTTGTCCTCCTGTCATGTTCTGACCCTGTTTTCCTCCTCCAGTGCTTGCTTTCAGACCCCCTCCTTCCCAGCTTTGCAGTTCCAGATAGGAGCTGTTAGATGATTACTAGAAATCAGTGTTCCTAAGAGCAAGAGATACCAAGCTAGTTGGGGTCTGATCCACAGCTCATGAAGGGCAAAGGGAAGTCTTCACCTGATTCACAAATGGGCTGCAGGTCAGGGCCTTATTGTGCCAGCAGCTGCCATGCAATCTTCCCCCTGAATCCTGACCTGCAGGCCCAGGATTTTGCATAACTTTGCCAAAGCATCTCTGTCCTAATGTCCTGTTACCCCACTCCTCATTCCGGACCTGGTTTTCCACATACAGTTCTGCCAGTGCCCCTCAGTTCTGCTCCACCATTGCTACTGCCTGCTTTCCAGTCACAGGCTCCTAGCAAATTGTGGCAGTTTCCCTCATTCCTGACCCACAGTCTACCACTCTATTCCTGTTCTAGTTGGCCAGTAGCAGAGATGGTCCTAGAAGCAATACACATAGCTTAGAGAGATTAAGATTATCGTATCACTTGGCTCCAAGCCAGAGATTGGGTGGTTTGGGTACAGCTGCGGGAAACCTGTACTGGTGGTTTCTCAAGAGCCTAGTGGCTTTAGTGTTCTCTTAAGGCATTATGTAGAGGAAGAACTCACTACGTTTATAACTGCTCATACCTTCCCTTCTTCAGTGATTTTTCAAAATGGGTATGTTCTACAATTTGCCACAAATCACTGTTTTTCCACACTAGAAAACTTTCACCTAGTTTTAAGTTCCTTTAAGGGGAGGGGGGAGGGTAGTAAAACCTTGAAAGGATTTGCATGTGGGAGGGAAGCATGGTGCTGACGCACTCTGAAAATCCTATGGTAATTTCCATGTTTATTTTCTTAATATTTAAACATTCTCCTAGAACACTGGCAACTAGAGCTGATTAGAATATGGAGCCAGTCCTCTGGGAAATGCCAGCATTTGAAGTCAGAGTTTGTCCTGAATTGGGATGAAGAAGCAGTCTCTTTGAATGCAGTATTGCACTCTGCAGATATATTGAAAGGGCCATATCTAAATGAAATGTGCTATTTTGATAGTGGTACATCACAGAGTATAATTTTTTTTTTATTATTAAAATGAAATGTCAAAGCAAGACCAGAACTCAGACCACTTTCATTTCAGTGTTGAATTGTTTCAAAGCTTGTCAAATGTCATTACAATTGATGCTTTCTGCAAAATACATTGTAAATGTGCCAGCACCAGCAGTGGTGCCCTCAAACATGCTGTGCTGGGCAGGCTGCTTCCCGAGCTGTGAGCAACATAGCTGTGTCTACACGGGTGGGCTAATTGGCACCATCATGCATTAGTGCTAAATTAGCTTTCTGCAAGTGCTACACACAGGCAGCTATACTGTTTTCAGTTTAGGAGGAAACCATCTGACAGCAAGGCAGTGTGCTTGAGGGCACTATGGCCAAGGCCAGAAGTGTGCCACCTAAACATGGCCTTAGATTTCAATGAAATAGATGTTCCCATGGAAAACAGATACCAGGTTTGTTCTGACCGGCATAAATGGTAATTTAAGTAGCATGATTTGGCAAAGATGCAGCTGACTAATCTAACCATCAAGAAATCCCATAAATATTTGTGCATAGGATACAGTGGGCCACTCCACAGGAGATAGGCACATTTGAAAACATCACCTGAAACTCATGTGGTTCTAGATTAATTCCTTGACCAGCCTAAGGATGTAAGAGAAAGGGATCTTTTTTATAAAAACAGTCCTTTGGAAGGGATGTCACTTTGGGAGGCAACAAATCAGAATTTGGGGGTTGGTAGGTAAAAGGAGGGGAAAATACATTCAAATGTTCTCATCCCTTCATATTCTTGGTGCATGACATCAGTGGCTGAGCAAAGGGCAAAAACTGAAAGAGTAGAGTAAATTATTAAAGTGTAATGAGAAGATCCTTTCAGTTTTAAGCATTTAAAGGAGAAACAATAGTTGAGAAGTGTTTTTGCATGCAGAATGAATGCCTTATTGGCAAGCCCCCTTTGCTTTGTGTGTCTCCATTTCTGTGCAATACTTTAAATATTTAGCTTGTAGTCTGTCCACAGTTATTAAGCCTGGACTTTGCTGTTTCAGAGGAACCTGGAAAAACTTAGCTATCTGAATATTTATACTAATGTGTTCCCATGAGCTTTCCTCCACCCTCACCTCAGCTGGGCCAGAACATATATGCGGCTGAAGCAAAATCAGGTCTGGTCACACCCCAGTAATTTCAGCCACCAGAAACTGAAGTGCTAGGAAGTCTTCACAGAAAAACAATGTTTTTACTGGACTGTGCTTCAGTAGACCCGGTCCATAGAGTCTTACTGGACAGACTGCTGCAGTCATGGTTTGATATTTAGTTTGACATCACATATTGCTTTTGGAAAAGCCTCCAGTCTTGATGTAAAGGTTTTCAGCGATGCTGAGTCCAGCACTAGGGGGGCGAGAAAATGAGAATGCCATTTCATGAAAAGGGCTGAGGCTTCAAACTCTCATTTTTCCCTGATAACAGAATACAAGCAAAATCTTTAAAAGAATGGTAAAAAAAACTGCTTTCCCCACCTCCTAAACATCTGCTTCTACTCAGACATAGCAGAAGCTTGGATGCTGGCCTCCCACTTCCCCAGGCAAGCTGCCCAGTCAGCAGGCAATTTGGTATTCTGGGGTGCATTTATAGAAGGAATTCCAGAACCTGAGAAACCTTCCAAACGAGCAGTCAGAACCAGGTTGTTTTTTTTCAGGGAAACTAAAGTGTCTTATAAAAAGTCTTCCTAGCCTCTTCCAGCCCTTTTCACCACCACCCCCTGGTAAGCTGTGGCCCTTGTGACTTAAGCATGGGCAGTCTTTTGTATTATACTGAGTTGTAGTCCTTGTTCTGCTTCTCAGTGAATATAGATCTCTTCCACCTTTGTACCTCCATTCACCCATTGGTTAAGATGAGGTCAGTGATAGCTGCTAAGGCCCTTTGGGGTCTATGGATGAAGAGAGAGGTAGTATCAATTGGTATTATTTTGACACCCATCACTTCAAATGATTCTTTGAACCGCCAGAACAGTATGCAACGCATGCAGGTATAAGTGGCCATGCAGACCTCTGCTTAACGTTGTCTCATAGATAAAAGCAAACAAGGCAAGCAGAAGCTTTGACCACTGCAGTATATTCCTCATTAGAGGGTGACCATTGGCAGACAGCAGACTCAGTAGCAAAGCCCACTGTTCACCTGCGCAGCAACAGATGGCACTCTATACAGTGTCTAAAAACCTAGGACACTCCTGACAAAAAACTTTGCCTTCAAGTGAAGGTTGCTACATTAAGTTACATAGCCACATGTAACGTCTCTCCAGATTAGAAAGCAGTAACTTCAGGATGCCTTGTTGTTTCCACGTGTTCTAGTATTTAGGTTCTATCATTTGTTTTCCTCAGCACTACATTGTTTGTTACAGCAAACTCAGTCTTCAGTTAAATATCTTTAGTGCATTGAAGATAGTCTCCAATGCAGTCATGCCTGCCTCTTAGCCTAAGGAATGAAAACATTTCAGAAGTGTCAAGGGATCACAAGAAATGCGCTAACCACTTCCCTGGGTTCCAGATCATATGGAGCTCCTTCTCCATCCAGCTCCTGCAATCATGCCACAAAGCAAAGAATGGAGCAACTAGAGCTGCTGTCTGCTATGATGTGTCAGGCTGCCGGTACATATACCCCTACATGCCCCTGCTCAGTACAGAACGGACTAACTGGATCCTGGTACAAGAACAGGTATCAGGGAGCAGCAAGGTGATCTTGCTCTTGCAGCAGACACCATTGAGCGTGATACTGGAACACTGCATCCACTGCTACTGTCCACATTTTTAAAAGGATGTGAGGAAAATTGGAGAGCCACAAAAATCATTCTAGGTCCAGCACTAGTGCCTAGCATTGAGAGATTTAAGGGGCTCAGTCTATTTAGCTTATCCAAAAAGATCAAGAGGTGATTCAATTAGTGTTTAAGTACTAAGGGCTGTTTAATCAAGCCAGCGCAGACGTAAGACCCAATGACTGGTAGCTGAAGCCAGACAATTCCTCATTTGAATTTGTGATTAACCATTGTACAAATCAGCAAGGAAGTGGTGGATTTTCTATCTTCCGAAGTCTAAAATCCAGCTTGGGGCTTTAGTCAAACTTGTTATTAGGCTCAAGACAGGAATAAATGGATGAGATTCAATGGTTACACTGGAGGTCAGTTTGGGTGATCTACTGGTCCCTTCTGGC